GCACAAAGGCATAACTACAGCACAATGCTGAGCCCCAGCACCCAGATCCGTGTGTCTTATGAAGCCATCGTCCGGTCTTTTAACTGCAGAGATTTGGCAGCTCATGTTCTCCAAATGGTGATTCATGAACATCTCCCGAGCTGTTCTCAATAACCATTTGTTACCGGGCAGCGCGGTGAAAGATTGTAAGTTTGTGCGCAAAAATATCGCACAAGATGAAGATCGCAGTCGCAGGTTGTAATGGAAGCGGTCTCATGGGATGAGGCGAGCGCCGCCACACCCAGCTCACTGTTGGAGGGCAGAGCTGAGAGGGTGGGGCGAGACGTCAGCTGGAATCGCAGCTTTAGAGCCAGCACTTGGACTTTGCCCGACACCTTCGCTAAGCGAAGGCTTCCCAGCAGCGCACCTTGCTAGCGCTGGGAAAGCGCACAGGATTCTGAGCGCAAGTCTTCGGAACACAAAACTGGGAGGCATCAGGTAGTATCATGGCTGACCTTTCCATGAGGCTAGATGCCGGATTATCTGGATGATTACTATAAATCTGGCTCGATAGCAGTCTGTGTCCGAGGATTCATAAGACGCGCGTAGTTGAAGAGAAAAATAGTGCCGAATGTGTCCTCAAATCTAACTACTTGCGGTGGTGGAATTTTAAATGAATGGGAGGGGAGGGAACGTAGATGCTTCCAGCCTTCACAGCTATACGTACACACAATTTGGCGCTGTTGTTTCTGAAGACCTGCAGCCACCATCCCACCATGACTCATCAGTGTGGGTGCGCTTCTCATCTCCGTCCTTTACGCACTTGTCATGCCTTTACCGAGACATTGTCTTTAACGTGCAGCTACATTTATGACCGACGCGCTTACCGCATATGAACATTATGCTCATTTGCATATATTTACTTTTTGGAGATTGAAGTCAATGATAACAATTTGGATAAGAGAAACGGCGTGATGAAAACGTTTGACCTTAGGGGTGTCCTAATAGCTTCATGGTAATCCTAATGTAAGGTCTGTAAATTGCGAGCAAGATGGAACGAAAAGGCTAAGTGTCAAAGATCGGAATCTTTGAAAGCTTCAAATGTCTCTGACTGCATCAATTGAACACGAAAACAAAACAAAATGTAACGACGCGCAAATGGAATGGTGCCATCACAGTCAGGCTGTGATTGTACTATTCCTCCCCCTCTTCCTCTCCCTCCCCCTCTCCTTTATTTCCACGTGAACGAATCGAAGCACAGCCGTCCGCACTCTCGGGGTATTCCTGCTTCTTCTCTTGTTCCTTTTAATTGTCCTTCGATCTAGAACTGGAGCATTCTCTTCATCGTGGACTTGTCACGATGAGAACATTTTGCGGTTTGCTTGGATTCGCGTGATTTTTGTTCATGCTCGAGTCTCTTTTTCAGGTCGGCCAATAAACATGGCGGTCTTCACATGACTCCTGTGACTGGTAATGTCGACAGTGCAGGGTAGACCTGTCGCCGCACCGCGTCACGAGGAGCACGCCGCCCCGCTGGTCTGTGACTGGTAATGTCGACAGTGCAGGGTAGACCTGTCGCCGCACCGCGTCACGAGGAGCACGCCGCCCCGCTGGTCTGTGACTGGTAATGCCGACAGTGCAGGGTAGACCTGTCGCCGCACCGCGTCACGAGGAGCACGCCGCCCCGCTGGCCCGTGGGCGGTCTGGTCGCCGGCACACTGCAACTGGACCATCGCTCTGGCTAAGGGAATTTCAGTTTTTAAAACAGAACTTATCCTTTGTATAAAAAACAAGAAGTTTTTGCACGCATCACAAGTCTTCAAAATAACGCCTGATCAGACAAGTGAAGGAAAGCTAGATATACAATCACGGCAGGCTCAATAAAGTTACCATTAATCAATAGGGGACTGTGTACCCAATGAGGCGACGCGGATGGGGTGGTCTTTCTCCGAGCCTTCCCGAGCGTGGTGAACGTGAAACAAAACGTGAAACAAACGAACGTGAAACGCCAGTGTTTGATGTTTCTGAACGTGGCTTGGGAGCTCTGTTACGCCTCTCCTGTCTGTCCGCGCCGTTTCTAGTCTCTGGCCTGATAAATGGAAAGTAGCTTGCAGGTGGAGATTACCGGCGCTTTTCCAAATCACGAGGACCCCAGCCGTCCGCGTGCTGCTACGCCCTCATAAAAAAGGCCCCAGGCGGCCGGGACCCGCATGCGAGACGAGGGTCCCATGACTCAGTGCTCTCTGCCACACTGGTGGCAGCACCGTCGGCTGACATCAGTATAGGCGGCGACTGCGGCCGCCCCGGCGCGCGGCCAACCGCCTGAGCAGCGGTGGTGCCAGGCCCGTCTCTTCAGAGCAAACAACTCGCGGTCCCACGCTTGACAAGAGGCAGTAACAGTGGAAGCACCGTTCGGCCATGATTTGCGTGTGGCCAACGCTCTGTTTTAGGTTACATTCTCGTGCTTTCGGGCAACCTATCGCGACCACCGGTGCGGACAACAAATGGCGTATTCAGCTCCTCGCTCGCGAGCGTTCAGTGACGGGACGGGTCTGCGACTGCCCACGGTTATATGAAACTGTCAATTTATTCCGGTCAAGACGGCGTGAACTTTCCACCGGTCAGTGCACATTCAAGCCTGCATCACGTAAGGCCATCCGATCAGCGGAAGCGCGTCTTCTTCGCACACAATATAAAACCACGCGACAGCACAGATCGTCGTCGAAATGCGCAGGAGCATACGGATATACGTACGCTCTATGCAGCTAAGGCACAGGATTTTAACACGTTGACTGCGTTACGCATTACGGCACACACACACACACACACACACACACACACACACGCGCGCGCGCGCATACACGTCCGCGCGCAAACATAGCATAAGGCAGCACACGCTCTCCCACCCGGAGCGCCATTCGGGGGTGTTTGTGAAACAGGTGTCATGCGCTCGGGACAGCGTGCCGCCAGACAGCCTGCTCAGGACTGCGTGCCGCCAGACCGCCCACTCAGGACAGCGTGCCGCCAGACGGCCCGCTCGGGACAGCGTGCCGCCAGACGGCCCACACGGGACAGCGCGCCGCCAGACGGCCCGCTCGGGACAGCGTGCCGCCAGACAGCCCGCTCGGGACAGCGTGGCACCAGACAGCCCGCGTCGCTGACGCACATACACCGGGGAACACGCCGAGCTACGGCCGTCAGAGCCGGAGGCCGGTCACAAACGAAGCAATATCAACCTCTTGGCAGTGGAGGGCTGGTTGTGGTCAGCATGGCAATGCATGCGCCAAACGATTAAATGGTGAACGACTGTATACATGGGCACAACGCGCGTTTAACAGACACAAAACACGGAGCTAGGAAATATGGCGATGATGTTGTCAGGTATCTCCAATAGAACTGGAAATGGATGACAAACTGAAGGTGTGGCGAGTGTAGCGAACCAATATCCCAGTTCACTGAGTGTGACAGAGCAGATCGTTGCAACCGAAACCCATTTGTTATGTTTATGATACAAAAGGACATCAAAGACACAAACTATAACCAACGTGTACTACAAAGTGAACAGCAAAGCAACTTGTATGTTCAGCACGCCATCTAGGTGACACAAACAGCTCACACAGGATCACAAGCTACCCCTACGCGCACAATCGCTTCAGGAAGGCAACTGCCTGGGGCCATGGGAGCCATGGAACATTCAGACGAGTGACAAGCCCGCCCCTCCCTCTCCCCCTGTCCACCCGCCCTGTACCACAGATAAGCAGACCGAGCGCCACCGACTGTCAGTTCCAGGGACCGAGGCGGGGCGCTGTAACAGCCTCCGCCGTGTAATGCGGACGACTGCCGCCAGGCGGCAGCAGCTGTGGCCGGCCCGAACGCAGCTTCACTCGTCTTCGTCAGAGATGAGCCCATTGCTGGAGAACGGCTCCTTGTCGGACGCGGCCTCGGGCTCGGGCGCTGGGACGGTCACCTGTCACCAGCAGCGGCGTCAGACGGGAGGCGGTACCAGAGGGGCACGAGGGGAGCGCTGGGACGGTCACCTGTCACCGCAGCGGCGTCAGACGGCAGGCGGCGCCAGAGGGGCACGAGGGGAGCGCTGGGACGGTCACCTGTCACCGCAGCGGCGTCAGACGGGAGGCGGTGCCCAGAAGGGAGCGCTGCGGTGGTCACCTGTCACCGCAGCGGTCTCAGGCGGGAAGCGGTGCCAGAAGGATACAGGGGGAGCGGACGTGTGAGCTGGCACGACGGCACGGGCCTGTTCTCCGACAATTCAGGGTCTGCTGCAGGCGGGCAGGCTCCGGACGGACGGAGGCCTTAACACCGCTGCTACTCGCTGTGCCGGTGGTACACCACAGAAACTCACCCAGTCTTTTTAGCCTATGGTGACAAGCAACATTTTGTATTACGTTCTCGAAATACCACGCAGCTGTCTTTTGCATTAGCTGAAATGCCAAAAAAAAGAGAACAAAAAGGTTGGAGAATAATCCGTTTCACCTACACTGCAATCAAAATCCGAGTTGATCTCAAGTATTGGCTGGTGGACAGCGGCGGCTAGGAGTGGTGGAAAGGCCGGGTGAGCTGCCTAGCAGTGGCTGGTCGGAAGAGGCTAACAATCTAGCGGGCATTTATTGCCAGGTAGCGTTTTATGAGAAGGGACAGCCAGACACCAGTAGTTGGGCAGCATTTATCGAACGGTGGCTGGTAGTGACTGCCGGGCGGTGGCCGGTGTCCTCACCTGCTGGGGTGAGGCGGGCTGGTCGGCGGCCGGCCCCCCGGAACCGGACGCCGAGGTGCCGCCGGCGGTCCCCTCGGGCGGACCGGCGGTCCCCTCGGGCGGGCCGGCCGTCCCCTCGGGCGGACCGGCGGTCCCCTCGGGCGGGCCGGCCGTCCCTCGGGCGGACCGGCGGTCCCCTCGGGCGGACCGGCGGTCCCCTCGGGCGGACCGGCGGTCCCCTCGGGCGGACCGGCGGTCCCCTCGGGCGGGCCGGCCGTCCCCTCGGGCGGGCCGGCGGTCCCCTCGGGCGGACCGGCGGTCCCCTCGGGCGGACCGGCGGTACCCTCGGGTGGGCTGGCTGCTCCGGCCGCCGGCCGAGACGGCGCGAAGAAGCTGGCTACCGGTCGCTGCCAGGACGGCGTCGGCTGTGGGTTGTATGCGTTTCCGCCGCCGCCCCGCTCCTTCGCTGCGGGCCACCGGGTCACTCGTGAGCTAGGGCCTCCGGCGGCCGGGCCGTAGGCGAGCGTCGCTATCTGGTACTGGTGACCTTCGACGACCACAGGTAAAGACACCAGTGACAATCGTCGCTTGTAACATTATCCAGCAGGGACAGCGAGTCACGGGACATTTCCATAAAAGTTCGTTGGTTAATGAGGCGTGTCAGCCGCTTCGATTGCGTGGTCATACGGAGCCCACACAATGCCAAAACATCAAACAATATCATATATATCTATATCTATATATATATATATATATATACTTCATGAAGGATCTGTTTGAAGTTCCTATCCTGTAACACCATGAAAAACAAAAATTATTTCGTGTGCTATGGTCGTAAGGCTGCCGTCCAGCCACCTCCACAACAGTCCACCCAGACGCAAGGCTCGCGTGTCCAATAACGGACGAAGGATGAAGCTCTCAAGTCGTTATTTTACCTTTGCCTGATGACACGCCCCTAGGGGATGACACCGCCACCTTGCGCGGAGCCTTAGCCCCTACGGCTGAAAAAGTAAAAAGCAAGATGTGGTCAACATCTCACCATGTTCATTTGCGAATAAAGCAGTGGGACTGCTGCCTTGGGGAAGGTCCTTAATCCTCGACGTCTGATTTCACCAAAGAGCAATCTCAGCTATTGTTTTGCACACATTGTTGCTTGTGTAGTGCGTACACCAAAAGCAGGCGGTTTCTGCTTCGGCCACCATGCATGAAAACCAATTTAGAAGTTAATGGTTCAGCACTATAACAACGAATACAGCTTGCTAAGCTCCACAGCCCTGACCATAAACAACACCTACCTTTGATGCCATCAGCTCTTGTGCGCACCATCAGAACAGGACTGCTGGGATGTCTTCACAAGACGCTGGCCTGAAGCCATGGAAGTCGTGAAAAAAAATGACAACAGCACAAAGCATACAGTCAGTATATAAGGAGATTTGCAAATGATGAAACAAACATTTCAAACAAATTTCATGATTCAACCAGCCTTAGCACGGGGGTTCTAGTCACTTTAGGCACTTGATATCTGCCTCTTACTGGGGTGGCCTGCGGCCCATGACAGCCGGCCGCGCTGAAGGACAGGTGACGTCAGGGGGCAGGACGCGGACGCGGCACACATACGGCTTTTGGCACATAATTCTGCCATTGACCTGCAAATTGTCTGACTTGATGATGGGATAGAGGCTCACACAAAAAACATTGTTTAATGTGGCACTGTTCCAAGACATTCATTGACTATATGCTTTAAACTAAATTTTTGACAGTCCAACATAAAAGCATCAACAAAAAAGTATGCCAGCAATAATCAGGCAGCATGTTTTCTGCTTTCACCACAGCAACTTTTAGCAGCATGAACAATACACATGATGGTGTGCCTACAAATTTGTGGATATAATTAGGTCCCATCACATGGAGTCATCTTGGAAAGTTAAGTTTTAATCAGTCAATTCAAGAAGACAAAAAATTGTGTTTTTGACAGCACCCCAGGTATAGGTACATAAAAGACATAAATGATGACAGAATCAGTTGTTTTAAGCTCACAAAAAATTGTGCCCTTGAATATCAAATGGAAGAAGTGAAGACTTGCACCACAACTTGTACCACAGAAAACTTGAGTATGAAACAGGTACAGTATACTCTGGTTCACATTACCTTTTGGGCAGTCAATGATAATCAAAAATTGGTTTCAGGTACTTCATTCCATGGTTGGTTCAAAACTTCTGTTTGATTGCCAACATGCAAACCAGACCACAGCATACTTATTCTATAAGCAACTTGAAAACTGTTGTCCTTGCCCAAGCAAAGGTCAAATTTTTGACAAAGATAATGGGATCATGATGTTTAGTACCTAACAAAACAGTCATGCCATTCTATACCATGTCATCCTTGCTGTGATGTGGTTATAATGCAACAAAAGGTAAAGAATCAACAAAATGGGAGACAATAAATGTTTATCTCTTGGCCAAGCAGTTTCCCTGCATGTTATATGATGGTACATGTGTGCCAATAATACTGACCTTTGATTAGCATGTGCAAAGTCCTGGTGGCTATAAGTGGCAAATGTTACTTGACCTTAGGAAAGTGCAAAGCACCAACCATCCAAGGAATGGATGGCACACATAAATTGAAACACTAAAATCATAGCAGAGTTAGATTTCATGACCACCCTCAGACACATGCTGCTAAGATTACTTTTTTGTAACAAGTGTGGGGAGTAAAACCTATTTTTGGAAGCAAGAGCAGTGGACTTGTCCTGAGCTGCCTCCACAACTTTGGCATTGGAGCAGACATCACCGCAGGGTTCTGGCCCAACA